CCCCCCGGGCAGCCCCTGCCTGGACGCTGCTCCCAGCCTGGCCGGCATTTGCTGGTCCCTCCCTTCTGGACCAAGCCCCATTCTTCTCTCGTAACACGGGGTCACCTCCGGGGCTGTGGTCGGGACACAGGGTGCTCACAGGCCAGGGCCACCAACGCCGCTGCCCGCCAGGCTCCGGCTGCTTTGTGGTCAGGATTTGCAAAGCTGCGGGCTCAGGCAGCGACGGTTTCCAGGGCCGGTGCTAGGGCCCCTGCCGCTGCTCGCCGCGTGCAGATGGGTGCTCTCTGCACACCCATGAGGGTCCCGCGGGGTGCCTGCTGACCCCGAACGGCATGGGCTGGAGAAGTTTCCTTGGCTCTGCGAGATAGAGCCCTGCCTCAGTTTCCCCATCTTCACCATGCAGGTGGTTGTGGGGAACAGTTAGTTACTGTCCATAAAATGCTTTGAAAATGAAAAGAGTCCTGCTGTTGTGTTATTATTAATAATAATATCCTCCAGGCTTTATCCCTGAAACTGCTGCTGGAGACGGAAGTTTCTTGTAGCCACAAACAGTTGAGCATGATTTAGGGAACTGTAGTTTATATGAGTAAAATCATTATAAATAAAACTGGTTCAATTTACTGCTGCATGAAAGCAGACAGGAGCAATTACCAGTGCAATATTGCCATCTCCACCTCAGTCCCCAACTCCCTCCATGCCTGCGTAAAGCTCCTGGAGCTGTGGCTGCTGCTGCTGGGAGATCGCCTGCCCCGAGCACCCTGCACCCTGGCAAACCCCTCCCTGCAAGGGGCCATGCACATCTCTTCCGCCTCACACAGGAACCCAGTGATGGATTTTTGGGCAACAAGCTGGGTGGCCTCAGCACCCAGCGGTGGTGGTGCTGATGGCAGGGAGGGCATTTGATCCACCTGATGGGAGACACCAGGACAGGAGCGTTTCAAAGAGGACCAGAACAGGCAGAAGCAGAGCTGGCCTGTGGCACAGCGAAGGCGAGATCCTCGCTGTGGCCTCAGAGGAACCCTGCTCACCCAGCTCTTGCAGAGGTGTCCCATGGCTTGCTGCCCTGTTTGGGACTGCTCAGGACTGCGATATGCCTGAAAATTGTGCCAGACAAGCAAATAGGAAACCAGGAAAGATGTTTGTGTGGAAATAACCCTATTAGTTCTAATAAAAAATAAGCAAAAGCAAAAAAAAAAAAATCCCAATAGTTTGCAGCAGAGTGAATGCTGAATGGCCCTGGCAACAGCCTTCATTCCTGGAGGCTTGCAGAGGGATTCATCTGGGACTCAGGCACCCATGATGGGGTAATTCAGGAACCCCCCTCCCCCCAAGAAAGTCCAGCGGTTAGTGGGACTGGCACCCCTGGCTCTGGCCTCGCCCCCAGCCTGACTGCTCCTGCGGGTGCCGGGATGCCAGAGCCGCCGGGCTGGGCGCTCACGGCACTGCTGGTAGGGCCTGATGCATGGATGGCCGAGGACCAGGCGGCATCGCAGCTTGTCCGCTCTCGGGCCTTGCTGGCCCTGGGCAAACCTGAAGAGCAGCAAGAAACTGCACAAGGGAAGAGGCGGCTTTGGCCGTTTCAAGAAGGGCTTGGGTTTAGGATGGCCTGCAAAGCCGCCGTTCTGGCACTTAGGGAGGAAAAACTGGCTCTGTAGCAATACTGGGTTTGCAGGGAAAGCCAAGAGCTCAGGACGTATTGGGGCTCAGGCTTGCACCTTGCCG